GTAGGAGGAGTCATGACCAACTGGTACAAGAACTAAGACATTGCCATCATGAAGCTCTAGCACGAGGGCATGATATTATATATCAATAGCTGCCTGGACATATCGGTATTACCGGAAATCAATTAGCCGATGATGCAGCCCGCTCAGCCCGTGAAGAAACCCGTGTAGTCCCGATTCCTCTTTCAAGGAATGATGCAGCAAGACAACTTTACCTGCTGGCTCGAGATCTCACACGCACGTTCTGGTGGTCTACCAGCTTCCAAAGGTGTCAATTTTATGAACTGGATCCTTCGCTTAAGCTAAAGCTACCATCACAACTTTCCCGCTCCGATGCGACACTGTTATGCCTCCTTTGGTTGGGTGTTGCATTTACAAAGGTGTACTCCTTTCGCATTGGTATGGCAGACACTCCTACATGCGACTACTGCGGAGCTAAAAAGACAATCGAAAACGTCCTGTGCAGCTGCGCTTGCTACGACACACAGCGATGCCAGCTCCGGATGGTTTCGAATCGACTTGACCCCGGACCATTTTGTGTGCAGAAGATACTAGGACCTTGGGCATCTGCCTCAGTTGCGCAGAAAGCAACTAAAGCACTGCTACTTTACCTTAGGTCAACAAACCTGAGCGACCGCCTGTAGACTGTGTGTGCTCCCCGAGTGTGCTCGTGATTGTGTGTACCTTCTCATCTTTCTGCAACCACTTTCCTCCCCTTTATTCCTTCCCTAGTGCAGCGTAGCAAACCGGATGTGCGTCTGGTTAACCTCCCTGCCTTTCCTTGCATCTTTATCTCTCTCTCTCTCTCACCGACCTTTCGATGGGACCATTTCGACAACCTACACGACAGTGCGCACCCCCAAGCACAGCCATGCGCTCTACATCTCTGGTCACGCTCGGTGCCACCTGCGACAAGCTTTTGACCACACCGCCATAGCTACGCTGATAATGTCCGGGGCAGGTGCCACAGCTTTCGTTAGAGAAACTAACCGCAGCGACCTTTCATGGAAGGTTGCCACTCGTCGAGATACTGCAATACCTCCGGTACTAGTGTGACAGGATGATACGACAAGTGATGCAACGTGTCTGGCACCTTAGGGTACCGTAAGAGCAACCTCCACATTAGCCTAGCTGGACGCCCTATGACAGCGCTAGTCGATACTGGCGCTGATTTTCCATTAAAAGCTGAAAGCTTGCCGATGGTCTTAGAAATGTTAGAACTTATTCATTGACGGGGCCTAACATGAGAACAGTGCGTTGTCAAGTGATGACGGTGAATGACAAGTGTACTCCCAGAATTATATTCTTGATGCTGCGCTTTTGTGGCTGCGTTCATGATTTCGTCAGAGTGCTACAGTTCCTGGTGTTGGAAGTGGAATTTCTGCGTGAATACGGTGCCATTATAGACATAACAGACAGGACAGTGGCGTTTAGGGTTGTACCAAATCAACTTTCACGGATGCGCGGTAAAGATGACGGACATAAACATCTGTGCGTGTTTGAAAATCTTGTGACCAACCACCCATGGTGAAGCGCTCTCGTGGCCGTAACTTGCGACTAACCAGGCAACTCCGACACCATCGTCGAACAAACTCCAAAGTTGCTAGTCAGCCAAGGCCTATTCATCGCGAGATGCGTCGTAAGCATAAATTGGGGACACACGCAGGTTATGGTAACAAACTTCAGCGTTTAGCGACGACATTTAGCCAAAGGTATGGATGTCACGTACAGGGATAAGCTCTGTGAGGTCGCAGGCTATTTGACTGTGGAGAAAGCTGATTCCGCCGGGTAAACACCTGTATCCGTCGATGTTGACCTATGTTTGGTGCTCACACAGAAGCAAGTTCTACTGAAGCTGATTATTGATTTTCAGGACTGTTTTTCTTCGACGTTCAGAGTTCACCAAATGCTGCTGACGAAACATGGCACCATTACGGATGAAACGGTCAGACCTATACGGCAGAACCCATACTGAGTAGCACCACGGTAACGTGGGGCCATAGAAAGTCAGTGCAAAAGATGCTTCAGGATCACGTCATTCCACCTTAGAAGTGTCCTTGGGCATCGTAGGTAGTATTGGTGAAGAAAAAAAGGTGGCACCTTACATTTTCATAGCCGCAATCTCAATTACGTTAAAAAAAGGACGTTTACCTGCTATCTCGTATAGACGATTCCCTTGACTGACTACGCCGTGCACGTTATTTCTCGTTGACGAATTTACGAAGCAGATAATGGTAAATAGAAGCCGACGAAAGATATTGATAAAAGCAGTATTCGTTACACTCGATGGTCTTTATGAGTTTAAAGTTCTACCTTTCGTCTTGTTCACAGTACCGACAACGTTTCAGCGGCTCATGGACACTGTCCCATTAGGCCTTAAGTGATTAATATGCCTGGTATGCTTGCACGATGTTGTATTTTCAGCGACATTTGGCGAGCACTTGAAGTTACTCACAAATGGTATTTAAAGCGATACTATCAGCTGGACTAACGCTTAAGGCAGAAAAACGCCTTTTTCTTCCAAGGGCTGCCTTGGGTCACCTTGTCAGAAATGGAGGTGTATAGCCTGACCCAGACAAAATAGCTGCTGTCGCAAGTTTTACCACGCCTTCAGACAAGAAGGCAGTCAGACAATGCTTATGTCTCTGCGCTTATTACCGACGCTTCATTGAGAATTTTCGGCGTATTGTCGCACCTTTGATACGTCTGATCTGTGAGGACGTCACGTTCGTGTAGGGTAAAGAGCAGCAGGCAGCGTTCAACAAGCTGCGACAACGTCTTCACAGGCTGGAAGTTCTTGGACACTTCGGCGATGACGCTCTGACAGTGGTTCACACCGACGCCATCAATCTAGGCTTAGCAGCTGTACTCGTGCAGTGACAAGATGGCATCGAACGAGTAATTGCTTATGGAAGTGAAACTCTCTATCGGGCAGAAGAGAATTATTCCACGACTGAAAAAGAGTGTGTTGTGGTGGTGTGGGCGGTTATGATGTTTCGCCTATATATGTATGGACGCCCGTTTAAAGTTATCAGCGACCATCAGTTTCTTTGTTAGTTGACGAACTTTGAGCACCCATCAGGATGATTAGCGCTTGAGCCTTAAGCTTGAATCTTATATGGCTATACTTTATAAATTTGGAAAGGAACATTCGTATGCCGTTCGCCTTTCTCGCGCCCCATTGAAACACACCAGTGCCCATGATGAAGCGGCGTTTATCGGTGTTTCAACACGCCTGCAGTCGTACAGCACCAACGCAACCACCCCAAGTTGCGACTCGTTATGGATTTCTTGGAGGAACGCACATACTCTGTTGCCAATTGAGCTATTGGCGAAAAGACTAGCATCGTTTAACTTTCGCAGCGAGGTGCTCTATAATGTGAACGTTCCTCCGAACGGAAGCCTACTTACTCATAGAAGTACTGCAGGCATGTCATAGTGAAGCAGCATCCGGTAATTGAGGTTACACACGAACGTTATGCCGAGTGAGACAGAAATACTACTGTCCAAGACTGACGGCAACCATTCAAAACAACTTTCGGACTTGTCTTGAGTGCCAACATATAAAGGGGCCAGCCGCCAAACCTGTAGGGCTCCTGCACCCTATTGATGTACCAGAAACTCCATTCGCTCAAGTCAGAATCGATCTCCCAGGACCATTTCCAACTTAGGTCGCTGGTCGCAGATGGATAATTGTAGCCGTAGACTACCTTACTCGCTACGCTAAGACCAAAGCTCTGGAGCGAGGCAAGTGGAGCAGCCAGGACGTTTATTGAGAATAGAGTCTTGAGGCATGCTGCTCCATCTGTAGTAATAACGGACAGGGGAACAGCATTCACAACCGAGCTGTTCCACAAAGTTTCAAGCCTAAGTGAAACTTGTCACCGACGTACAACAGCATACCAATCACAAACGAATGGTCTGACAGAGTGGCTGAACGAAAAGCTTTTGGATATGCTTTGCAAGTATGTAGATAAGGAGCGTAAAAAGTGGGATGAGATATTTTCTTATGTGACATTCGCGTACAATATGGCACAGCAAGAGAAACACGCACGACATCACCCCGTCTTTTCTATCGCCATGAAGTCACAACCATGCTCGACAATATGTTGCCGCATGAAAAAGATTTCGTAGTAACGAGCGCCGACTGTCTAACTCAGCTTGCAGAAGAAGCCCGACAACTTGCCCTTATACGTAATTGTCAACAGCAAGTCTATGACACAATGCGCTGTAATCTACATCATGGACCGGCCTTTGTGAGCCGTGAAAAAAAGTTTGTGTCTAGATCCCAGTTCACCGTCGGGGCCTGTTATAGTTGCTCCTGCAGTGATACTTTGGTCTGTATAAAGCCCTTTGACGTTTAAGTGACGTTAACTATGAGGTTCTACTCGATAATTCACTGTGTTTAAGGCGTCAAAGTAATGCGCCAGAAGTTGTGCACGTGATTCGGATGAAGCCCTATTTGTCAGAATGAACTCGTGGGCTGCCAGTGACTGCAATACCTGCCACCATTACGAATGAACCACCGAGACGATGCTTTTTTGAAAGGGAGGCCCATGTCATGATTAATAATCGGCGGTACAACTGAGGAGAACGAAGCGAGCAGCACGAGCAACAGTTGATGGTTTCCCGAGGGTGACGACGTTAGGGCGTCTGCTCTTGTGCTCTAGTGTTAGAATACAGCCTTGCCTCTTCTCGTCGCAACGGAGTCTTGTATCTTGTTGTTTTTACATCGCGACAATCTGCATTGAAAACATTTAGAGTTCAGTTCTTGTACAGAAGAACAGAAAGACAAAAGAAATTGTGACTGTGGCGAATATCAAGGTGAACTTGTATAAAGATTAATAACCATATTATGTGAACCTCTGCTCCTGACGTCTAAAATTACTCATTAATTGATTGGACCAGTAACTAGCCTCACAAGCTAATGGTCTAAATACTTTGTAACCACGTTTTGTATTAAGTTCATTGAACAAAAAACACTAATTGAATATAAGATATACCTTTCCAAGGATATGTGACTCGTATCCCAAGTCGTTCAAATATTCAGGCATGATCTTTGTGTCGAGAGATAGACCCCCAAGTTGTCGTGGTACCAACGGTTGTTCCTGGAAGCCTGGGAAGCAAAAGGTTGCCTGGGTCAACATAGCGCAAGAGATTAGCCAGCAAAAAGAAACATGAAAATTACCGAAGCAGCGCTCGTGGAACGCATCATGCGATACTGAGGCATTAAGTATAGTAATGTGAAATGCATAAATACCTTCAATAATAAGTCGCAACTCGCATGACCGGCTTAGCAGGAAGAAAGTCATTGAAAACTGTGGAGCCTTCACTTGGGGTACTTTTCCGGAAGCATTTGTCGAAACATGTTTGCTCTCAATCAGACAGTGTCCTGTGCGTTACACGTATCAAGACACAAGGACACTCTTCTCCCATGCAGGCGCTTAAAACTGTATTTACAAGGTGGACGTGATCATGAAAGAATCAGTCATGTGACATGCGATGTGTTTCGGATCTCACCGCAGCTAGCATCACGTGACAGGGGGAATTTGCGCTACAAGTGACGATTTATTCATTGCTCCTCGAGCATTAGAACCGTAATTCAGAGCCCCATGTTTTCACGAATCGCTCCACGCAGGCCGAAACGGGAACGCGGAAACGGTAGTCGAATGTGGACGTAGTACGCAATACACCGCTCCAATGGCAGTTTGTTTCACTTTATTGTCCCTCTAAGCTGCATTCATACGACGAACCAAAGAACCAGTTTAGCTTGGTAGTGTACTATGGCATTCTTAACGTCGTAATTTCACCATCAGGACTTTACTAACACAAGAGAAAATTAAGGTCAACGTTCCATTTTAAGCTTGGCGCCATAGCCTCCATGGATTCATGTTGGCACGCATTTTGAAGAGCACTGATCGAATTTTGGCAATATCACCACAACAAAACTCCCTGAAACTAGGTATATGTAAACTCTTCGGCCGCCCTATTTATCGGTGTACTCCATTTTTAAAGTTCATGAACGACGTAGGTTCTTGTAGACACTATCAAAATCGACGACGCCATGGCGTTTCGTGCCGGATTGTCAAGATGAACCCAGCAGCCGCGTTGTCTTTTAGCGTGTCTTCTGGGGACCAGCATGGCGATTTCGGAATTGTGAAAGAAAGCGTTCGACGGATAATAAAAACATCGTCTTTCTATTTAGTGTCCTTTTCAAAAATAAGCGCCTTTGACTTCATATTTGTGGCATTTTTATTCAATTTTTCGGTGTGCTTTTTCACTTGGTTTCCCGAAGATGCAATAACCACTGCAAATAAATATCGATTACAACCCTATTATTTGTAATTTGGTCAATCTAATATCTCACCTCTGAATGCTTGGTCTAGGCTGTATATGAAATATAGGTAAATTTTCACCAATTTATAGTTTATAGAAATCTCTTAATCTTTTGTTCCTTTCGATAGGTATATTTTTATTATACTATCATGAGCTGCACTTTGACATCATAATTTTATTTTCGAGACAACGTTTACAGTGGAGGGTGCAATGTTCGATATTTTGAATGGCTAATTTATGTCTGCCCCGGTGGTGTAGAGGTTATACTGCTTGCATGATGACCCAAAGGTCGCAGGTTCAATCCCGGTCGTGGTGTTGGCATTCAAATGGGGGCAAAGTGATAGAGGTTTATGTATTGAGCGATGGCAGTGCACGTTAAAAACTCCTGTTTGTAAAATTTTCCGGAGCCCTCCAATACTGTCTCTCATAATTATACCATAGTGGAAACGTAAAACCTCCGATATCATATACTATCTATCTATCTATCTATCTATCTATCTATCTATCTATCTATCTATCTATCTATCTATCTATCTATCTATCTATCTATCTATCTATCTATCTATCTATCTATCTATCTATCTATCTATCTATCTATCTATCTATCTATCTATCTATCTATCTATCTATCTATCTATCTATCTATTATCTATCTATCTATCTATCTATCTATCTATCTATCTATCTATCTATCTATCTATCTATCTATCTATCTATCTATCTATATATCTATCTATCTATCTATCTATCTATCTATCTATCTATCTAGCTGTCTGTCTGTCTGTCTGTCTGTCTGTCTGTCTGTCTGTCTGTCTGTCTGTCTGGCCGCCTTTATGTTAGAGCTTTTGTGGTTTCTTTACGTTGCATGGTATATACCAAAATTGCCATTCGCGCTGCATTCTTTCTCTTCTTCTGTTACAGCCCCAACTAATTCCTTGCGCAAACCATGCCAGACTGACTGGGAACCATTTCTACAGCCTCAAGACCTCCAGAATAAATCACGCGCGGGAAACGCGAACATCACAGTTTACTCTAGAACTTTGCTACAGTCAGCAATAACGCTGCAGTCTTCGATGGTACATGTATAAATGCCGGCACTCTTGCGCTTTCTGCAGATAAACGACGACGGACGCTCTGCTCGCCATGTCACTCTACAGCGTGTATTGCTTGTCGACTGACGTGTCGTTTTGAGGGAACAGTTGCAGTTGCCTACAAAGAAAATGTTTAGTTTTGCAAATCAAGACTACTGCTTTCATTTACCGATGTGAACCCGTGACAATCTAAGCATATGATGAATTGAATATATCGATCAATGGTTCACGAGTGATTTCATGAATAACGTGACCACTTCAATGTCTCGTAGGTGAGGTAATTCTTTTCATTAGGCCCGTACGTTACATACCCGCATACAGCGGCCCGCGGTACACGAATATGAGCCCGCAGTGAACGATCTACAGTTTATATGAATCCGGACTTTAAAATCCTTAATGGTATGAAGTGAATGAATACGTGTCACATAAAATATGGCACTGGTCTCGGTGGAGTTGTCGATGGGTTATTAAATATTCAGATGGAGCACATACTCAAAATCAAGCCGGCACAGAATAAAGACCTTACGCATCGTTGTGAAAAGTTCTGCCCGAAAGCAACGCAAGGTCTTCAAAATGCCTCGGGGAAGGACCTTACACAAGCGCCATGTCAGAAAAACGCCCAATGTTCTTACAGTATTGGTTATAGGCCACAATATCAACCTAATGGGCTATACGTGTACACACTTATGACTTTAAAATCTATAGCGCCCCGCCGCGGTGGTGTAGTGGTTAAGGTGCTCGGCTGCTGACCCGCACGTCGCGGGATCAAATCCCGGCTCTGGCGGCTGCATTTCCGATGGAGGCGTAAATGTTATAGGCCCGAGCACTCAGATTAGTGTGCACGGTAAAGAGCTCCCGGTGGTCGAAATTTACGAAGCCCTCCACTACAGCATCTCTCATAATCATATGTTGTTTTGGGACGTTAAACCCCACATATCAATCAATCAACCAATAAATCAATCGATCAGTCAATCAGTCAATCAATCAACTTCAAAAGCTATAGTCAAGCGTTGCGGGAGCATGCTCATGACCGTTCTTTATGACATGCACATCATGGCATCATAGTCCGCACTTCGTGGCGGTAAAGCGAACGTATCTGCCCTTATGCAAGTCGTGACATTACGTAAGACTATCTCCTGCCCTTTCCGTGTCAGTTTGCATGGCGTATATACTGAGCCTGCGCACACTCAATTTACACAAAAAGTTGAACAAGCTCTTAACGCTTGCCTTAAAGTGAAATATCCACCGTAAACTGATATTGGCTGGCTGAATGGCATAAAGCCAACACTCGAAACGCATGGATTTGGCCGATTTTCACTTTTTGACATATATTGTGCCGTCGAATGCGTCTTCTCAGTTCTGTAATACAGCGCATGACTGGCAGTACTGTCAACTAATCTAATAGCTTTTTAACTAGTTTTCCGACCAACCGATCGATGCACCGAAAGAAGGAAGGTCTAACGAATGTTATAATATCAGCGCTTGTGTATTGTACTTTCTTGTGTTTTTAGTGCCCTTCTGTGCGCTGATCTTAATAAATATGTAGGATTTGACGTCCTAAATTCAATATATGGTTGTCAAAGACGCCGTAGTTGAGGGCTCCAGAAATTTCGACCTCTTGGGTTTGTTTAATGTGCGCTTAAATGCTGTTTCACATCACGCGAATGCAGCGAAAAAAATTGTTCCTTTCGCTCCAACTGGTTTGTTTGCAATCACCGCTAACGATTCTTTTGTTTCATATAGACCGTGAACGGTCCGCGATAGTCGCTCTGCGACTGGAGCGGAGGGCAACGTTTCTCGCCACGCTTCACTCGGGCAGAAGTATAATGTAACGATCTGTACGCTATGTTAGTATTCAGTTTCCATGAACGGCAACAAATAGCAGATAATCGTTTCGTCATTCAGGAACACTTTCCACTTTAACTATCTTTTAATATGCGCAACGGGGGCCATTACCAAAACAAACACGTCGACATAATTCCGACAGCTTGGCCGGCCCGCTCATACTACGACGTACCTCGAACAGAAAATCGCTGCCGTCACTGCGATCAGAGCGAAAACTTCCAGCGTGTTGGAAGCTCGCCAGTGACCGCTGCGACTGGAGCGAACTCCTCTTTTTGTCGCTGCGAGCGAATTCGCAGCCTGAAAAGCGCAACTTTTTGTGTCATGTGAAACGGCCTTGAATCAAAGCACAAGGACCTCGAACGTTTTGGTCCCCAACGAATATGAAGCCGCCGCAGCCGCGATTCGATCCCGTCACCTTCACGTTAGAAGGCTAGTGCCATAACCAGTAGACCACCTCGGTGGGGCTCCATCGAATGTTCAAGTTGGAGGAAGGCCAACCAATGTGTATGGCGTAGCGGCCAGTGAGCAGCACCCCCCGGGAAGGAGAGCAGGTGGGCTGCACGTAGTGGTTGTTGAGCAGCACTCCCGTGCTGGCCAGAGCATCGAGGTTTGGCGTTGGGATCTGCGGGCAACCGTGGAAGCTCACGTCGGCCCATCCCTGCGGGTGCGTGGTGAAGGCGAGGAAGGAACAGAGATCTGTGAGATGACTTACACATTACATATACATACGCACGCACGCACACACACGCACACAATAAATGCTACTTTCAAGTACTACAGAATGCGCCCTGTGACAGTATACTACTGCTTTTACTATGCCACGTTAAGAAAAATAAAGAATGAGCCTTGGATTGTTGAACAAAGAATTGCTGTCGAAATGAAAGGACAAGAAGTTAATGCATGTGAATTATATTCTTCCAGCAGGAGGGCCACGGCTAGCAGTTGGCAAAGCCCGCCGACGCCAACCATACTCGCCAGTTTGGAGGTGGGGTTTTGCAATGTGGAGGGCATTGTAGTACAATGGTGCATAAAAAAAGTTCATGTTGTGCGTTTGCTCACGTACTTGGGAAATCGGAACACAAGGTGTGTTGATGCGGTATCCATAATTCAATAGTCTTTTTCTATTCCTTATTATAATGGACTTGGTTTATGAGTAAGAAGAGTTTAGTTGAATGGCTCTGCATTTATGGCAGTGACGAGGGAAAATTGTGGTGGCAATGGGGTCTGCAATGATCGCTAGACATTTTCGCACTACTGTTACAGAGCTTTCTTGTCGAGGTGTGCCTCGTCCACTACGGGACGTTATCATCCGGAGGCCAAAAGCGCCTGGCTGATAATCTCGTGGGGAGGTCTATGAGCACACTGAATAATAGGAATTCCCTCGTAACCTGACACCTACACCACGGAGAGAGCAGAGAAAGGAAAGAGCGTCGGGAAGATCAGTATGAATATCCTAGGAGATTAAGTTGTCACGAAGCACAGAGTGCCACTTTGAAATCTGAATAAATACAAAACTAAGGAGAAGCAGGAAGATGGCATAATTCCGGTGTCACATGAACGATCACGGATAATATAAAGAGAAAGGCTTTTTCTTGGCAGAACGGCCGAAATGTTTTTTCAAGCTGTTTTATTCAATCAATCAATAAAGAACCTGTAAGTGTGACCTCCGCGTCTTACTTGCGTATTCCCCCCCAACTCCCGCTAGATATCTGCTCACACAGACACTTTAAAGTGCAATATTGTCTTTCTTTTGAACCTAAAACTATATTATATTTCGATTTGTTACTCTAGCGAGTCACGGCGAAAAGTTTTTTTTTGAAACAATGCCTGCCAGTGCTGTGGTGTTTGTTTCAACAAAAGCATAGAGCCGGACGGGGCTTACGAGATCAATCTACTCCTAAAACAGCAGCGTTTTTCAGCATGTGGCAACAAAAACAAAAGTTATGCAAGGTCATTTCCAACATTTTATTCGGGAAATAGCGCATTACTTCTAGTTTTTTATTACTTTCGCGCATGAACGATACTATAGTGCACTTTAAAAGTGAGAAGGACATCGGTAAATTTCCTATGGTTAGCCGGGCTTGAAACATAAAGAAGTAGAGAAGAAGCTTGAAATCGTGAGTGAAAGTGGGCAAGTTACTTAAAAAATGGTTTAGTGAGGCATAATAACTAAGAATATTGACGTAACAATGATTGCTGAAATGCAGGTTCGTGGCTAATGAGCGATCACAATGTTGTTGGATATAATAGTGAAAGCCTGTATAATGTGAGAAAGTAAATAAAAACTACTCTGCGGCATGTTGTACTCTTCGTAACACTAGAAGGTGAACGCCCGTTTCATATTTGGCAATGTATCAAGCTATGCAAGTGGTGATCAAACTTCTTGAAAGACATAACGAAGCTTTGTGTCAATCTCACGAATATAGTTATCTTGACGTTCCCAGTCAATCGCATCTCCTGTGGCATTTTGCACCTCAAATGATGTTGCACTACGTCCAGGAAGCACCGTGTGACGGAAGCGACATAAGTCACGATTGATGGTTTCAGCGGCAATTTCGGAGCTATTATGACAGCACATCACGATATATATATATATATATATATATATATATATATATATATATATATATATATATATATATATATATATATATATATATATATATATATATATATGTATGTATGTATATATATACGGTAGAAAAAAAGGTCGACAAACGTGCGAAAAAACACTAGTTTTACTGGTAAAACTAGTGTTTTCTCGCACGTTTGTCGACCTCTTTTCTACCACATTTTCCACCGGATCCATTGAATTTCACCCCACCATATATATATATATATATATATATATATATATATATATATATATATATATATATATATATATATATATATATATATATATATATATATATATATGACGTATGAAGTGATGGTTGGTAGAAGCTGAGGAGGGAGAAGTGACAGTAGAATAAACATGGCGTATGAGCCAGGCCACGTCTCCCGCATCTAGCGTCACACGAGTCGACAGGATGGAGACCTGCCTGCCCCTTCATCAGTCACTCATCATCGACGCAGATCCCCAGAAGACGCCCTGACCGTACGTTGACTACCGAATCATCGCCTAGGAGGACATCGACAAGCACCATGACAGAACCATCGGCTGACCTCGACATCCCCAAGTACACCGGATCAGCGGACGACGGACCCGTACAGGACTGGTTCAACCTGTTCGAGGTCCACGCCGCCGCGGCATCTTGGTCGGAACGGGAGATGGTTACGAACTTCAGTGACTACGTCACCGGTGAGGCATTCAAATTTTACCTAATTCACATATTCGAGAACGACGAGTCATGGCAAAAAATTAAAGAGGAGATGATTACCCGTTTTAATGACTATGACCAAGACTTACTCATTGCCAACCATCTAGAGACAACTGCACACTATCGTCAATTTCCTAAGCAGTCCTCAAGCATCCGAAAGTCCAGCGTGAATCGACAAGTGCCTCAAGACGAAGTGGCACATGAGTTTACTTTCAGAAGACCATGCGTGTTTTGGGAAAAACCTAACCATCAAGCACGCCTCCCTTCTGCACGAAAGCCGGCATTTCGAAAGTCCTCACTCCAGCCTATGACGCGAGACGTTGCCCACCGACCTGATTCTCTTAATTCTTCATCTCGCAAACGCGATCCACCACGCGGTTTTCCATCAGGCGCTCCTGACGCTCACCTTTGCCTCATAAGGAAACCATGTTCACGATAAACGAGTTCACACACCGAGAAAATACCCAGTCGAGCCATGCTACTTTCGCACGGGCTCATGCATCACCGTCCGGTGCACACACCCTCGACAGTCCAAACAAAACAGAACGCCCAGATGCATCGAACGTCGCACGCTACCAGGCGCAAGGACCACTCGCAGTGAACAGCGAAAAAGAAGCCACTGAAGAGCTTCCTGTCATTTTTACGGCACCGCAGAATTGCCAAAATCTGCAGTTCAAACCTAGTATTGCCATGTCACCTGTGGTGCCCGCATGCAGAGCTCACCAATTCATCAATCGAACAAATTCAGAAGTACATGATACATCAAACCTCGTACACAGTTGTCTTTCGGAAGCGTGCGTAATGAACCACGTCACCAAAGCCTCTGAAGAGCCTGCTAGCAATGATGATGCTTTACCAACTATGCCCGACAAGCAAGACACCAATTCACCAAGCATCAGCTGTCGACAGGACGCGTCAAACGCCGAAGGAAATGAATGCCCCATTCCGGAAGAGGCGCCACTACAGCCATCTCCTGATCAGCATCAGCAAAGCAAGCATAGCCCAGCGCGCAACCTCATGCGACAACAAAATAGACTGCAACGAAGGCATCGACGAACGCGAAATTCAACGAAAGCACACTCACCAATTGAAAAACAGCGGAAAATACGATCTCTAATCCAAAAAGTATTCCAAGACGTCAAATTTTCTCGCACAGAGGAAAGTCGCCAGAGACGTTCCTTGCGCTTGCAGTTACACAGACCGCAACACCACGGAAAACGCCAAGAAAGATGCGGAAGCACTTCTTGCATACCGCCAGCCCGCAGGCATCACGCCGTCACAAACCGTCAAGAAGCACGCATTTTAGAAGCAAAGCGTCTGTCGCAGCCACGACTCAGAATTCAACGCATGAGACATCCGACTATCCAACGCTACAAGGCCTCCCAACCTTGTTCGTTCATCAATACTAACCAGGTTGTGCCATCATCATTTTTAACGCTGAAGGCATGGTTATGCTCACCAGAATGCAACAGCCAACCTCGCCCACCTGAGGTCTCCTAGATATCACCGGACTGCCTTTCCTGTGAACATTTTGTGCAAGTGCATGGAACCGCCGTGTGGCATGCAACTACTGCTTTTTCTGGCATTATTTTTTATTATAAGACTCCATTTGTTCATGCTTTCTACATTGTAGCTCGCGCATTCTTTCGGGGGGAGGGGGAATCGTGTGACGTATGAAGTGATGGTTGGTAGAAGCTGAGGAGGGAGAAGTGACAGTAGAATAAACATGGCGTATGAGCCAGGCCACGTCAATATATATATATATATATATATATATATATATATATATATATATATATATATATATATATAGTTGGAGTAATAATTCAATGGGCCAGTTAGTCTTCGTGAAGGTATGGGATATATCACAACGGGAGCGTTGTCAACAAGGATAAATATATTTATTTCCCAACAGTTTCGGGAGGGGACCTCCCTTCATCAGGGGATGAGTTATACTGACATGAACTTCCTTGCTGCCGCGTCCCTCTCGCCTTGAAAGACGTTTGCGAGAGTGAGAGGGAACTGGAAGAAGGAAAAAAAAAGAGAGAGAGAAAAGACGAAAAAAGAAAGAAAAGAAAGAAAGTAAAAAAACAGGAAGAACCACTGTCGACACTGGGAACGAAGCCAACTGTCCGTCTACATCCACCTATGGTTCATATCACGTGCTGTTCAGTTCTTGGCGTGTGTCGGGCCACCCAAGATTGTCGCCGCGGTGCCGGGAGGGTCCGGGACGGCGTGCCTAAAGAAAGGGGTTTCCCCGTAATTGGTCGTTTGGTCGTTCGGCGGGCGGCGGGCGGTGTGTGTAAAGGAAAGGTTTCTCGTTAATGGGTCGGTC